AGGTAAGGAACTGCGATAATGTCGACGTGCAGAGTGGGAGGGGCCATAAAAGCCGAAGCAACTCAGAAAAACCGACTAACTGAAGAGAGTGTGAGAAACTCTGAACTCAAACCTAAAAATGTCAAAGGTAAAAAATAAACAAATAAAAAAACAAAGAACACAACCCTTAAAACAAAATGCTAGCTAATCAAAATGCTAGCTTCAAATGTTTAAAAGGCTAAAAGCGGCAAAAAGGCATCCTAAAAGCCAAAAGTAGCAAAAGGCTAGATAAAAGTAGCAGTTGGCTAAAAGCTAAACGCATCAAAAGGCTAGCTTAAAATGCTTAAAATGGTAAAAGCAGCAAAAGGCATCCTAAAAGCCAAAAGTAGCAAAAAGGCTAAATAAAAGTTGCAGAGTTGGCTAAAAGCTAATAGTATCAAAATGCTAGCTTAAAATGCTAAAAGCAGCAAAAGGTGAGCAAAAAACTAAATATATCAAAACACTACTTTAAATGATTTTAGGTTAAAAGCTAAAAGTAGTTAAATTTTAAGGCTACCCTAAATGCCAAAAGCAGCAAAAGGCCAGCTAAAAGTACAAAAGAGCTGGCTAAAAGCTAAAAGTATCAATAGGCTAGCTTAAACGAGCAAATGCTAATAGCTAAATGTAGAAAAAATGTAGTCAAAAGTAGCAAAATGAGAGCAAAATCTAAAAAGTACAAAGCAGAAAGATGCTAGCCTAAAGATCAACAGCTAAAAGCTAAAAGGAGCAAAAACTAAAATCAGGAAAAGGTTAGTCTAAAGTACTAAAAGGATAATTAAAAGGAAAAATCAGAATAACTAACGTTAGCATAGGGTGAGTTTAAAGCCAAACACAGCTAAAGACAGGCTAAAGGTTAGTTGCAAATATCAAGATAGAAGCTAAAAGTAGCCAAACAGTAGCTAAAAACTACAAGCAGCACAAGACGACACAATAGTGCGAAGATCTGAAAGAGTTTTCAGATTTCTGCAGTTCCAGTTTCAGTCAAAAACAAACCAACAACCAGCTGATCAACATAAGTCATGTGAATAGAAAAACAGGAAGCAGAATTACAAAATAAAACAGGAAGTTATGTTGAAGGAAGCAGAATCAGAATAAACGTAACAAAGTCAAACAAACTCAAAAACCAGACACCAAATAGAAAGTCTTTGTAATAAAATAATCACATTAAAACAATAAACTGCCTTCAAATCTAAAAAACAAAGACATTCACTAAACAGCCCTCGCGTTTTGAGCTGTTGTCATTTCCTGAAGCAGTTTTCTTTCTGCCTCAGCTCCATAATTACAGCTGACAGATTTGATGAAAGGTCAGAGGTGATTTAATTTTGTTAATCACTCTAAGAGCAGCTCACACGCAGCAACTCAAGAGACTGTGGAGGCGGGCAGCGATTTCCTGACAGTCAGGATAATGGATACTGCATTAAGAGGATGAAAATATCACATCTGCATGATTTATTAGTGCTGGTTCCTCCTCTGGGAGCAGGAACGGGAGTTTAATGAGCGACAGTGACCTCGGTTTTTACAGAAACTCTTTAAAACAACTCTGTTTTTCATTCATCCGGTCTCTCCTTTTCCAGACTTGGCCCAGTTTTTGTTCCTGAGCGTCAGAGCCAAGCCTGTTGCAGGGGCGGAGCTAGACATTGTGCAAGGTGTCTTCTAGCGAGGGGACCGGGGGCACAGGAAAATACAAAAACCTTTTCTAGATTGGAAAAATTCAAGATGGCCGCTATTGCTCTAATTAAGCTGTTATAAGAAATATTGAGCTGAAATTTTGTGTGATTGCAGATAAGATTTGTCCAAAAAAAACTATTTCAAGCTAACTGCTAATGCTAATTTTACAAAAATCTATTATTCAGCCATTTTTGGACAGACAAAAAAAAAACAACAACTGAAAACTAGTGAAGTAAAAGCCATAAACAATCTTTACAAATTCTAAACAATAAGAAAAAAAATTCAACATGGCCACCACCATAATATCCAGCCATCTTTATTGCTGTTTATGTACTTATATGAGCTGGGGGGTGGGTGGGGGGGGGGGGGGCTTAAAGTCTTCAGCTCGTTTATACTCGATCAGGAAAAAGACGTCCAAAATCATGCAATCTCCAACCTGCTGTCTCATGTCCTACTGAACACCACCAGACAAAACAGCTGCTTGACAGACATTTACTTAATTTCTCAACCATTTGGGGGTGGCACCTGGGGTGGCCACGGGGGCACCTGCCACCCCAGCCACCCCTCTGGCTCCAGCCCTGTTGTGGTTTATATTTTAGCTGGAAACCCTTTTTTTCCAGTCTTTATAAAAACTAAATGCTGTTTTTGTACAGAATAGTAAGTATCTGCTGAGGGAAACCACCATCCTCTGCTCTGGACTCATGCAAGTGGAAGTGCAGTAATCGATTCTCACTGGGCTCTAAAACCACCAGGACTCAGCCAATATCACGCTCTGTCTTTTCCCTCCACACCTCGCAGCTGCCTCTGTTTGGACAAACACCTGAGTGCCTTTCATTTCCACAGGTTTCCAATAAAAATCTTCTTTTTGTTTCCGACAACCAGACTGAAACCGTCCTGTTTGTTCAGCTCTTCGGCCACTCGGACCCTTTATTTATGTTTCTCTGCAGAGCTGATAAGATCCGGATGTTCGTTAGAAACCAGAGCTGACTAAGCACGAAACATTCAGCTTCACTTAAATGTCTGAGATAAAAATGAGCCGTTTATCTGCAGGGAGAAGTCAGTCCAGCTATTAGAACCAGTGAACCCAGTGCTCTGCTGCCGGTCTGATGGAACCGTGTGATCCAGTAAATCCAGTCCTGAACGTCTCCGATCCTTAACACGGTCTGTTAAAGTCCTTCACTTATCAAACACACCACAGATGTTTTATTCTTTTTAATGCTATCATTTAATGTAAGAAATACTGTATCTCTAACTATTAAAGCTGTTTATAAGCCTGTAAACATTATTGGCTCTTATTATCAGCAGCCAGATTAGATATTTTATGCTCAAATAATCCTGTCTATTTTACACACACACATCAGTGTCATAAAAACTTTTACAATCACACTAATGTTTTAAACTGCTTTTATAATCTAGATTGATTTTATTAAAATGTCAAGTAGCAGAAAAAGAAAAAAATCGCAATGCAGGCAGATTTTATTTTATTTTATTAACTTGAACTACAAATAAACTACAGGAAGGATCAAATATTTACCAAAATAAAAACTGTTTAAAATGATGCAGCTTTGAATAAAAATAAGGTTTGTTGCAAAACTCTGTCAGAAAATAATAAAAAAAACCTTATGACTGTGTGTGTGTGCACTGTGTGTGCATGTGTGTGTGTGTGTGTGCATGTGTGTGTGTGTGTGTGTGTGTGTGCACTGTGTGTGCATGTGCACGTGTGTGTGTGCATG